TTGCTTAACTTGTCTCTGCCATACACTGGGTTGTTACATGATGGCAAAGGAAGAAAAACCCAAAGTGGAACTTCTGTCTTCAGTCACTTAGTTTCTGCAAAACACACTCTGCCAGCTGCCTGATTCTGCTTTGGACTTTGCTCACTGACAGAGACAGTATGTATGATCTATGAGACAGGTTACTTCCTTTCACTTTTGCAGATTAAACAACACTTAGACTTCACCTTATTCCAGAAGGAATGTCTATCATCAAGAAATAAAATAATAACAAATGTCAACAAAGCCCTGGGAGAAAAGGAATCTTCCTACCTTGTTAGTGGGCAGATGAGCTATAAAACCAGCATGAAAATCTGTATGGAGATTTCTCAAAAAACTAAAAGTAAAAATTCTACCCAACCTACCTATTCTAGGTATCTCCCTGAAAAATTAAAATATATCACATTACAATGATACAGGCATGTCCATGTTTATAGTAGCAGAACTTGTAATAGCTAAATCTTAGAAGCAGCTGATATATACATCAGCAGATGAAGTGATAAAGAAAAGGTGGTATTTTCACACAATTGAGTACTACTTTCACATAAAAACAATAAATTTTAGTTATTTGCAGGAAAATGGTTGCAAGTTGAGATTATAATGTTAAATGAAATAAAGCAGACAAGACACACAAGCTTAAATATTGCATGGTTTCTCTCATATGAGAAACCCAAAGTATAAGGCAATCAAAAAAGCATATTAAAATACATAATGGGGAGCAAGGAGATAGATCTTTTGCAAGTGGAAAGAGAACCAACAGATGAGGGAGAGAGAGACTGGTGCAGGACGAAGGAAGCAAAAAGGTTTAAGCGGTTACATGTACATGTAGTAACTCCCCATGAAGACTGATCCATTGTGTATTGAAAACATATACTATTAAAGTTTTATTTTTAAAGATAGGCCATTCTTTAGCTGATAGAGACTAAGAAATCATTTTATTTTTTTTCTTTTATTGAGTTTATTGGTACAATCTAGGTATACAATGCAATTACATTCATCATTGGGATTCTGTACCTTTACATAATAGGTCTTGATTCTCATTTTTCCCCTTGTCCCTGACCTCCCTTCACCCCCTCCTCCCCTCCCCATTTACAAACACTTTATTTCCATTTTTTCAGTTTCTCATATTTTTTCCCTTTCCCTTATTACCTTTCCCCCACCCTTCCCACTTTCCCTACACCTTTAGCCCTTTACTTCCTATTTCACATTTTTAATTGTCTCATTAGGATCCTGTGTACTATTATAGTTTTTCACACCAAAGAAACTATTCGGTAAGAAGTCATTTTATATAAAGCATTTTAGTAAGTACATCCCTTAGAAAATGTTCAGGGTTGAGTGCTGCCTGCTTGGGTCCCTTTGAAGAAAAATACACTCTTCATGCAATCTTTTAATTTGTCCCACTTCTAAAGCAGACAGAAATTCTGGAAATTCCCAGTCTTTGTAGCCATTGAACCACAGCTTTCATCCCTGGCAGGTGTCAGTGTGTAGGTAAGGGGGAGAGTGCAGCGGGGAGAGAGAACGGTGCTCACTTGACGGGACAGAGCTCTTCCAGGTAAGAGCTAAGCTTTGATTTCTTCCCACTGAATGTCCAATTCCGACATTATCAGTTACACAAATTTCTTTGTGGCTGAAAAATCTACTTGTCTTCATGTTCTAGAGACATGATAATATTATTCAAAAATTGCCATTTTGGGGGCTGGGGATTTAGCTTAGTGGTTCCATCACCTGCCTGGCAAGCAAAAGGACCTGAGTTTGACCCCTGGTACCCAAAAACGTAAACAAAAACAAAAACACCACAAAACAAAAATTGTCAATTTTGGATTGTATATACTCTGCTTGGGATTAATCAAGTGTTACCTTTCAGGTAACAGGCTTGCGTTCATAACAAAAATTTAAAGGTATCTGAGGAAATATCTGTACAGTTATGTGGGCCACAAAAACACTTACACACACACACACACACACACACACATACGCTTGCCCTTCTACAGCACTGATTAAAGCAGTGTGTTAACCATTCATATATTAGCCATTGGATGTATTAATTATACACTTTAAATATACATTGCCAAGCTAGACCATCATTCAAATGATGCACAGATTGCTGGTCTTGTGAGCAGCTCTTCCCTCCGGTGAAGGGTTAAACAACTGCTGTCCGACGGAATCTAATTAGCTCTGCTGATACGCAAAGCATCGCTCTGTCAGGAAATGTCACTGTCATTGAGTGCTAGTCCTTGTCTGCATTCAATTTTCTGTCTGGCTCAGAAAATTTTAATAACAGGTTGGAATTCACATGTAAAATTTTAACCAATTTTCATAAAAGTACCTTATTTCATTTTCATTTTGCTCTCCTATAATCTTTGGTTGTCATAAAGTAAGATACTAAACACTCTTATTTCCTTAACTTTCATTGCCTTTTGTCCTTTGAAGATAGATGCTTATAGTTCTTTTTTTTCCCCTCTCAGTACTCTTCAAATTTTTAATAGAATTTTGAATTGTACTGAAAATGACAAAAGAAGAAAAGGTGCAAGAAGCAACAGGAAGCCGCACAAAGGTATCTAAGCTGTTACTCCCACGAGTCCTCCAGAGGAGGAGACACCAAAGAGTGTTTAATTTCCAAACTTGTCCTTAATAAAACATCTGCTTTATGGACCATTTTTAAAGGAGGTGGAGTCAACAGATGTAATGCTTAACCTCCAGTAACTTCCAAGCCATTCCTAGGAACTCAAAGTCCTGAGTGCAGAGTTATTTTAATCCCCTCCTGTAGTTGAGGAATGTAATTTTGGAAAATGAGAGAAATAAGATTTCAAAAAAATCAGCCATAGAGAAAATAAAAGGCCAATACTTTCTTCATTATTTTATAACACCAAAATGAAAGATTCCTGCCCTGAAACAGTGCAAATCCTAAGAATAATACTTTGTGAAAGCACTCAGTTGCAAGGACTTTAAAAGGAGTTGAAGGACAAAGAGGAATAGTCCGTTGGAACTGCTGAATATTAATGGACAGAAACAGAAGGGAGTGTTTGCTGATATTTGGCCATTCTAGAAAAAAATCAATAAAGACAGGTGGGATGTTGTTTGGGTCTGAAAGGTTGTACAGTAATGCACACAGAATATGTAAGCCTTGAATTTTTATAATTTAACACAAGGTTTCACTGAGTAGAAAATTGGCAGCGGGAGGTACAGCCTGTTTAAAAGAAAGTATTCTATTGCTAGAGAGGAAAGGACACAGCGTTTTGTTAGGAAGAGATGCCCACAGCAATGAGGAACACAGGTGACAGCATCACCAGAAAGAAAATCCTATATTTATAGAGTTTCTAGAAGCCAAGTTGGCCACAGCTAATGCCCACCTTCTGTGCTACAGAGGATACAGATTTAGACTTTTGCAAACGCAAATTACTGTGGTCAGGAAGGGATTATGAGTAGTTCCAACTTCACCAAGACCACAGAGAAGCAGTATGTACTCCTGAGGGAGATGAGGGGAGAGGAGACAGATTATTTAGACATTTTCCAGAAAATGTGCAATTTGGTGTATTCCTAGTTTACCTCGTGGGCAATGGTTTCTTAGAAGACAGAAAACAGAATCAGAGAGTACTGCAGCTTATAAATTCTGAACGAGGAAAAACATGAATTTCTCACTTGACTGGAATGCAGAATCTTTAGCATAGGAATTATTAGTTATTACCCAGGAACACAGGGTAATCCTGTCCACAGAAAGCTCCTGCGTGTGGCATCCTGGCTGCCTGGAGGCTCCTTCGTTGGTCTTTAACTGGAGAGCAGGCTGACAGACCACTGCAAGGTCTTTCCAGACACTCGGATGGGGCCAGAGGCACATGCTGGGTGGGGATGGGGCTCTTAAAACCTAACATCTAGAGAGGCACTTCCGGGAGATAATGAGTCAGCCAACTGGATGGGCTGCACCTAGGCTGCCATGAGCAAACCAGGGAATCTGGTCGCAGATACCTTAGGTGAGAGTGGGGAACTCTAAAAAATTACGAATACTATTTTTGATCCGGAGGACGTTGTGTTAAGTAAGTGGAATCAGGCAGACAAGGGAAGACAAACGCTACTTGACCTCGTGTATGTGTAGGATCTAAATTAGACTCATAGGACAGCGAGGATGGGGAACTTTATCTCAGTGTCTTTCGTGTGAGGAAATAAGACCCCGAGTCAACTGTCTGGCCCTATCTTTCTCCTCCTGAGGCAGCGTGGTGGCTTGGGAGCCGCCGGCTTCTTCCGTGGGAAATCTTCTGCTGTCTGGTCTGCTGGCTTCCTGCTGACTGAGTCCGAGGTGGTCCCCGGGTCCACTCTGCCAAGCTGCTGGACGGCACATAGCAACTTGTCCTCGGCCTCCTCCGGGCTGGATGAGAGCAGGGAAGCTGAAGACACACCCACAACCAACTCTCCAGCTGAAGACTCCTCAGCCAGGTGGCCGGGAGGAGGAATCCAGAAGAGACCTGCGTGGACCCGAATGAAGGAGGTGGGAGGCTGGGGAAGCGACATAGCCTGTCACACAGGGGAGGGACCCAGCTCTGAGAAGCAGCTGCTACAGCCGGCAGAAAGAGACTCTGGAAAGCATATGCACTGGGTTTGAAATACATTGAAACATGACTTCCATGGGGAAAAAGAAAAGTACGGCAGGACTGAAAAAAGAGCATGACCAAGATCGCCGGAGGACAACAGAATGTGTTCAATGGGGCTCTGAAAATGTGGCTGCCGCAGAGAGGTGCCCTGCTGTGCTGAGGGACTCAACACCGCCCTCAGGTCCAGGTCCGCCTGACTTCTGGTTCCTCTCCCTCCACACAGGAGAGACTCACAAAGGCTCTCATCTGCCTGAAGTCCGGACTTGACAAAGGAAGAGACGATCCCCCGCCCCGCATTTCATATCATAGGAGGCAGAAAGCCGGAAGCCCATTAATTAGCACACCTGCAGGAACTTTTGTCTCACACCATTTCTTGTCCTCGGTTACCGTCCTGCAATGAATCATTTTCAAACCACTTTCTGTTCTGCAGGTCCAGTGGACTTTGTCCCTGGCCACTCTGTGTTCACCAAGCCCAGTGAGCTCTCCTAAAATTCTTGTGCTATTTCTCCAAAATCATTTCCCAACTGTTCCGCTCCTGCATAGAAAGAGTGGGATATAAATTTCAAAATCATGCCAGACTCGTGGGTGACCACATTCCTTTGATTTTCCTCCCTGCTGTGAGCTGTGCCCTTTTGCATGTTAAATAAATGCGTGTGCCTTTTCTCCTATTAATTATTAGTTTATTATTCCAGAGAACCTGCAGAGAGCAGAGGGAAAACTTCCCTTTGCTCCTACATGTTGACATAAGAAAAATTAGGGAGTAACTCGATTCAATAGCAGAATTTTAATTCTTCATTAGAGGTACTGCAAATTCTACAATGCAGAAATTCCAATTAGTGATACAGAGAATGATAATGGAAAGCAAACCATCAATGAGAAGAACGCATGCTATGTAACAATGATAGGAAATGCTACAATGGAGAGGATCGAGTAGTCTTAAGAACAGTCAACAGCCGACTCAGGAACAGTAAACAACAGCCCCCACCGAGTGTCTGGGCACCGTGCACTCCTCTGGGTACTCTCCCCTGAACCTCACACCGATCCTACTTGCTGTCCTCCCTCTGCATTTTCTAATGGAGAAACTGAGGGTCAGAGAAAGTCAGTAGCACGTGTGTGCCCCAGGCACACAGTAGGAAGTAGGAGAGCACGGTGTCCTCTGGTCCTCTGAAGCATTGTGGTTTCAGGGCACCGTGGATACCAGTAATCATCACCTTATTATGCCCCTCAAAAGCCAAAGAAAAATAACTGTGCTATACTAGATGCAGATTACCTATGTGCAAAAGAACCAGGGTAACTGATATAATGTACCTTTCAGATGCCATGTATACCTTAAGATAAGACTCACATACAGATCTTAAAGAATAAATGAAATTTTTAGGACACAGAAATTTGTATGCATCCAGTAAACAAAATAGATTAAAACAATATATGCTACACAGTTAAAACAAATTTTAGGTGGATTTCATAATTTCCTTCACAGTAAACTCATACTTTTAAAGTACAAATTTTGTCACCATTTAAAAAATATGTAAAGAAGTTATCATTTGTATGTGAATTCAGCAGGAAGATAGTTTCAAATAAACAGTCTTCAACAGTTTGTAATCATATTCTTTTCCTGGGGAAAAGATACTAAAAGTTGAGTTACACACACACAAAAAATACAAATAATTAGGGAAGGTTGGGATTTTAAAAATGACAGCCAACATTATAACCAACATATACCAGTATACTGTTATAATATGTAGAATAATCATTAAAATTCATTCTTGACCTGGCTCATTATCATACACGTAAACACAAGAATCTCTCCTTTTTTTCTTCCTTTGAACAAGTACTTTTTATTTCAATTGACTTTTCTCAAACTATAGTTATGAATACATTCACTTCCTCCCCCCAAAACAAATAGGCAGGTAGAGATAAAGGACAAGATTGTTCCCTAGCAATTACTGTGCTAATTGTTATAAAGACAGAACAGAATTTGAAGGTTAAGAAGAAAAGGTACTGAAAATTTTAGGAAACTCATTTATAAATATAAATGCAGAAACCTAAATAATAGAATAATGAATGACAATATAGCAACTTGTTTAAGAAATAATCCACGATTGCAAATAGGTTATCTTCCAAGAACAGATTGGTTAGCAGTAGGAAACATGTTTATTCAATGGACCTCATCAAGAGGTGAAATAAGAAATTATAAGAGATAAATTGCATTTGATAAATACAATATCTATTCATTAAATCTTTACCAGTAATTAAAGCATAATTAAACTTGCATGATAAAAAATGTCAATCTCAAATCACAAGCCAAGGTGATAAGCCACATAATAAGATATTAGTGGTGTTCCCATTTAGTCAAGAGTAAGGTGAGAGGAAATATCTTCACTAGGATACACCCCATTCATTCGCAGACAATTGATGCTTTCTTCTTCAGCAACAGAACATTCATTCACTGTCTTCCTACTCTGGCCTGCAGGTAAATGATGCTCAGTACAGAGAAGAGGACAGGTGGACACAGAGAAGAGTGCGAGCACAGGAAGGTCAGGAGGAGACTCCGAATCTGTGTTTTGTAGTCTAGATGCCAATTTTCAAAAAACTTGTGCATGTGTGTGCACATGTGTGCGTGCATCTGTGTGGGTGTGTGTGGGTGTAAGGCTGCGGAGTATGCAATGCGACTTCCTACCAGCAATCTACCAACAAGGCAGAGAAGACGTTTTGATGGGGGTGAGGGGACCTAGTAAGCATTGAGTATCACTCTAAGCACAACACAGAGAAAAAGAAAGTCTGCCCAGGGGGGACACATAATGATATAATTACCATATCATAAAAAAGATAAAACATCATTAATTATTTCCAGATAATCACTGTCTATTTAGAAAACCCAAGAGAGTCAACCAAAAATCAATTATAATAGAGTTCAGTAAGGTGGCTGTTTATAAAAGCCATGAAAAATTAGTATTACTCTTGTGTTACAAGAATAACTATGGATGAAAAAGGTAAAATAATCTGATGGACAACAATTAACATTATCAGGTTTAGAGACAAGATGATCTCATAAAATGGCTAAGATTATGAGAACAATTACAGAATTTTGAGAGAAACGATTTTAATAAACAGAAGCACAAATTACAGATAAAATGCATCATGAATTTCAATATCAAAATTGAAAAATAAAATGATTTGCAGAGCCAGATGTTAAAACAACAATAATTTACTTGCCTGGTGTTAACTTAGAAAGCTGAAAAGTATAATATGCATATAAATATTTAATTTTTGATCAGATAGCACTGCAGATTGTGAGGATAGAATTTTGGCTTCTGTTATTGGGAGAAATATTCCTTGAAACTTTCCAAAGATAATACTTATAAAAGCTATATAAAATACTATTTTAAGATGATAACTTGAAGACAATGGAGAGCCACCAAATGCAAAGAGAAATCAGAGAATGAGCCTTGGAAGACTACAATTAACGTAGATAAGAAGTACAAGCTTGCAGACTTTTATGGGAGGGCAAGTCCTGCTCCCCTGCAATCCCTGTGGTGGGCACTCATCAGCCTAGGGTCTGAGTGTAGTGTTTAAGACTGGCCAAACAGCTGGAAACTTGGGGGATCCCAGAAACAAAAGATGAGACATAAAATCTGAGTAGAAGCTCTTCCCATTGCCCTTGCTGTTCACAAAGTTCCACATGTAGGACAGCTGAGGGAGGAGACAAGAACGGTAAGGATGAGACAGAAATCTACTCTTATGAGGCAGATTCACCAGGTGACGACTGAAAGTTAATACCTCTCTATGACTCATGGCAATTCTCCACCTGTACTCTGATGGGAAGGAAACATGATGGTTTTAACCCACAGGACAAAGCTCAAGGACAGCAATGCTGCTAAAATCTATGAGAGAAGCAGCCAGGGTGCAAGAACTTGGGAAG